TTAAATTATCCACTGCAAATTGAGAAACAAAACATCCTTCTGTATTTCTGGTAAGCGAGGAAGACTGCACTAAAGCAGAGTATAGTATTTCTAGTAAAGTCTGCTTACTACGCACAACTGCCAGAGATGTTTTGAAACTTGAGCCCCAAGAAAAAAAGTCTACACAATTTTTTCCCCTGCTCATTTCAGGCAAAAGGCACGCAGAGCAGGTTTTATCTGACCAAGTTAACAAAACATAGCACAGACCAGTGACCGTTTCTGACCCAGTAGGTTTTCTGACATACTGGGGCTGGTTTGCTACAGCCAAGGAAACAAGACTCCATGAAGAAGTCTGATTAGAAATAATAACAGCTAAATCCATTTTCCTAAATGTAAACTAAAACTTGATTGTTTGTCTCAGGTGTCTGAAGACAAACACGACATTCCCAGGTATGATGGCCCAGACGTGCACTTCTCTCCACCTCTGAACTGCTGGGCTGGTGTGAAAAATATCTAATCCTGCAATCATCGTTCTTGAGGAAATCAGCCAACCGTTCTCAGAGGAACCGTAGCCCGCTGTGAGCAGTTTCAAAGTTGTCTACGCAACTGGATCTGTGCACGCTGCTCCGCCTGAGGCCCTCTTCCAGTCCACAAGCCCTTTCAAGTAGAGTAACGCCCATCCCCTTTTGCCTTTGTGATGGGACCGATAACCCAACAACTCCCCAGTTGCATCTTCCAGCTCCCTATCCCAGCCTGCCTAACAAAACATTTGGCACCTGCACACAATTTCCTTCAGGAGCCTGCAGAGAAAACCTTCCGTTTTGCCACAGAATGAAATCAAAGGAGAACTTATTTAGTCATGAGGAATTCAAAGAATTAATTTTAAAGAAACAGAGACCTAAGCCTACCCTCTTACCTACAACTTGGAATTTCCTCCGATCAGCAGGGAGATATAATTCAGACTTGGTACGGCCCTGTCCCCCCGGGAAGCAGAGTACAGCTCGCTTGCAGAGAACCTGCTTTCCCGGCACATCAGCCCGCAGCAGCTGATGACTGACCCCTCCTCCCCTTGCATAAGGTCAATTTTCTAATAGATCAATGTCTCTCCATCTCCTCCTCTGTGTTGGCAAGATGCCCTGTCATCCAGGCTGTGGTTGAGAAGTTTCTCCCCACACCTGGCAGCTTCACCGAAGAAAAAAAACAGTTGTTGAAGCCAATGCTCCTGCCTGGCTCCTTCCACCAAATTCCTTGCGTTCAAAGAGCCGTGTAATAGTCTCAGATGGACCGATGGTCATTTGAGATGCATACAGAATGCAAGCTGGAAAATAAGCATATCCATCTGAGCAGCACGCAGGCATCCCGTGGATGGGCGTCCTGGATCTAAACACTGAGAATTATGAGGTTCCTACACCCACGCTCAAAAGGGTCAGTAACAGGGCTGCAATTACAACACAATCATCCGAACCTCTGCTCTATCTGCTGCAACATTCAGCACCTCACATCCCCAGTTTTCCATATGTCTATTTTGCAGCTCACCAAAAGCTTACCTAGAAGGTCTGAGGTTAAAAGGGAACTATGCACTTTACAAAGATGAAATCCTTGACTGAAACAGCAAGAAGGATTTCCTTATTCCAACTAAATGTTCGTATGGTTTCTTAGCTGGGAAAATACCCATTTGAACTCGGTAGCTATATGGAGACCAAGTGATTCACCTAATCAGTTTCTGGCCTTTTACCATTTTAACCCTACTATAAATCCTAACTTAATTAAAATCATTCTGATTAGGACCAAAATTCCACATCAAGTTTTAGAAAGCTTCTGAACTTCCTTCCTCCTCAAAAGATATACATAATTAAAAGCACAAACCTCTGCCAGTTTTATCGCTGAATTTGTCAGGAAAGTTATCAATGGTATTTTGTAGAAGAGGGAAGACTAGATGACCTCCTGGGGTCTTCTCTGACCTGAATTAAACTATGACATGTACTGTGAGATCATACCTTAAAACCCTGGGCAAGTAAGAACCACTCACATGTTTCACTCTACGTTACAAAAAACAGTTCTCTTGTAAACAAAACCTGAAAGTCTTTAGACAGTATGTTCTCTTAGTGAGAAATGTTCATTGTAAAGGTAAGTACACTGAAAAAGATACTAATGGGAAGAGTTACATGCAGAACATCCCACACAACATGAGAGAGACCCACCCAGAACTAATACTCATTTCTAACCACGGCACACAGCACCACCAATGACATCTAAGATTCTATCTGCTGCTAACTCATCTTAAAATATGTCAGATGCAGCCTAATCATCTAAAGTTTGGCAGTGGCATGAAATCAATTTTTAAGAACAGTATCTTAGAAAACAGTTTAACCACACGACTGTCACTCCCTGCACTAAGATACTGCATGAAGGAAAGACTTGCGCATTGCTACATAAACCTTTTTCACATTCCCATGAATTTAGGGGATAAACACTTCCCTTGCCAACCATTTTACTTTGCCCTTTAACAGTTGGTTATGTGTGCAGCACATCAGAAGTACTAAGAAAGGAGGATGAAAAGGCACAGGTAACACATCTGACACTTTAAATATATCTATGTAAGCAGTAAGGTTGGAAGGTGACGAGTCAGTTGAGCTAATTACTTTGATTCGTGCAGCAAGCTATGCCACGTGTTACACGTGCTTCTTATCTGTACTTAGGCGTTTTCGACTGAGCTAGCCGTCCAAAAGGTGGCTCGACAGGCTAGGTTATAACAACTAGTTCGGTGTGCAACTCTAATAACACCCCATACTGGTGTCAGAAGAGGATACTGACAAAGGACTTCGTCCAGGAAAGTTGTTCTGGCCCCCATTTAGTAGAAAGCAATTATTTGACACTGTCTAATGACATTAATCAAGCTCTGAACCTTTGTTGCTGTATGTCATAGCAAATGCTTAGAGTTTTAAGGTCCAAAGTGCTTGACTACACATTGTATATTAAAAACAAAAGACTTTAATTCATTAAAAATAGACTCTCACGCTAGATTAAGTTCATTTGCTGCACCCGTCCCTGGTCTGCCTTTGTGTGTGGTCTCATTTAAAACAGACACACATGAACCAGAACCTACTCTATTCACAGCAAACAAAAATACTATTGGCTGTCAACCAAAATAACAGACACTGACAAATGGGAATACCCCTGGGTAAGGAAATTTTAATTAAAAAAAAAAAAAAGGAAGGAGAAGAAAAAAAGAAATTACAATAATGAAGAAGAAGAAGCTGCCTTCTCTGGGAATTCCTGTTTCATCACCTTTGTCAAAACATCTCACATTGTCTCCTATGTATTTTATAAAGGTCTTTTGCAGATCTATTAAACTGGCAGCTTCATTTATGCTCACTCTGATCTATATTGATAAAGATTATGAAGCCATTAGATGGCTCATTAAGTTTGTCTTTACTTACCCCCAATTAAGATTTCAGGTGTCTCTGGTTTTGAGCTAATTTCAAAGTGGCTGCCATCTGGGACATTCTCAAGGAACACGATCGGCTCCTTTTGAAACGATACATCACATTTAACTCTAAGGCAGCAGTTCTGTTAAACGCAATCTCATTTTCCACATGTAGAATTTTGTGCCTGTTATTTTGGGGGGGGTGTTATTTAGTAATAGATCCAAAGTGCCAAGTTTTGATCTATGGCTTTTACAGCATTAAAGCTCCTGCTCACAGCTGACAGTTGAAATGCTATTAGGCATAAGGTCTCCTTGCACTTATCCACAAACGGTTCACAAAAAGAGAGGTTTTGAGCTTGAGCGTGCAATAAAAAACAGATTCAGACATAGTCATAAAAAATAATTCAGGTATAAGTAACAAGGGCACCTTTTATAAAAAAAAAAACCCTTTTGAAAAGCAGAGATGAGGGCCAGGACAGTGAAGTAATTGGAACCTACTAATCTCTTCTTCAGAGCAGAGAGTAGCATGAAAGAATATGCTAAAAAGAAAAAAGAAAAAAAAAAAAGCAGGCATAGGTCACAACCATCTCTGAAAAAGTGTGCTGTAGAGAGAACTTCCTCTCAGTCCTCCTGCTAAGAGGAGAGCTGAATAGGTGAATAGGCAGTCACCAGAAGGAAAGATTTTCATGGTAAACTAATAATGAGGAAGTAAATGGAGAGCACAGGCTCCATTTTGAAATCATGTCAGGTTGGGAGGGCACAAGAGCTGTAATGATACACCGTCTCTTGCTGGAGACAGAACCACATCACACAGGACTTTGGCAGTGGAGCATTATAGCTGGCTCAGAAAATTTTCAGCGTGGCTTTTAAGCCTTCCATTGTACACTGGGCAATGTTGCAATATACATGGATCCATTTATCAAGATATGTCACGAGGACATCGTGACAAAAATACTGTGTAACTGTCGTGGTTTAACCCCAGCTAGCCAAATACCAATCACGAAGCCGCTCTTAAAAATCCCCCCTCCCCTCCTCCAGTGGAGGGGAAGAATCGGAGGAAAAAAAAATAAGGAAGCTCGCAAATGTAGCTTTTGTTGACTTGCACAGAAGTAACTGACTTGGAAAAGCTTCTTCCATAAAATCTTTTAATCAACAATATGAATGCAGAACCTTAACCTACTGCAATTGTGATATCAATATTGCATGTGAGAAATTAAGTGTTGCCCCTGTCACACATTCTGGCAACACCTATGAATGCTTATATTTTAGCTTTGATAAAATCATTCTAGGTTCAACATCAGTCCCAAAATACCAGAGAGAGTGTGACTGTGTCTATTTATATGTGTGTGTGTGTATAAGTCCAGTATATATGTGTGTGTATATATAAATATATACAATTCCAGCCCTGTTAACTCTTCAGATTGTCAGGAGAAACAGGATAAAGCAGAAGATGCTAACACTACATCTCACTCCATTTTTCCCATTATGACCTGTACACTTTTTCACTCAGATCCAGAAGGACTGACAAGGATCAAGCACATTCTGCTCAAATGTCTTTACTAGGCAGTGCAGAACAGCACTATTTAGGACCTACCTTGCCCATTTGGTACATGTTTATGTGTTTTTCCTTTCCTAGGGGTTGACTGGCATGATGATGAAGCATTATTTGTGGCTGTTTTTGTGTCCTCTGTCTCCTCCTCCTCCTCTTCTTCATCCTCGTCATCCTGAGAGCTTCCAAAATATACCATGTTGCTGGGCAGGGCTGGAGAACCTGATCATTACAAAGAAGTGGCTCATTAGCATCATTACATTCACTAACTGCACTAACCATATTGATCACAACCTACTTTAGTGTTACGCATAGCCACGGAAGTGGAGAACTCAGACATGGAAAGTCACAGTAGCGCATGACTAACTGAAGGATTTTTTATTTATTAATTTTTTCCAACAGGATACGTATGTGCTTGAAAAGCAGGGTTCCCCCTCCCCCCAGAACATTCTATTCATATTTTAGACAATCAAACAGTCTTGCTATGAGCCCTAATTAATAGCTTTGTGTATTCAGAAAAGGACTAATGCACATGCTTAATTTCAAATGTGTGCTTAAGTGCCTTACTGAAGTCTTAACGCACAAACTAGAAGCTTACAGCTTTTCCAAACAGAAGAAAAAAAGAGCATTTACAGACCAATCTGCACCCCTGTAATATTTTTAGGTTATTATTACAATAAAATATTAGTATTCAAACTGCATAATGCTTTGCAGACCGATACAGTATTGTACACAATGCTTCACAGCATTCTGGTTCAGTTCTAAACAAAACAGAAAAACTGAGACATGGAGACGCTTAAATTCTCCAAGCAGGTCCCTGGCAAAGGAGGAGAAAGAGCAAAGGTCTCCTGACTCCCAATGTGCTCCTCTCGAGGATGTTGCTTCTCATCTCTTGCCTACTTCCCGCGATGTTCCTACTAACCTGCCTTGTTTGTGAAAGGGTAAGATACAACACACAGTTCAGTGAGAGGTAAGGATTCACAATCGTAACACCACCACAGGTTGTAATTTAAATGTAAATCTCGCACAAAATTTCTTCTATGCATGTCATGCAACAGTGTATAGGTTTCCCTGCACTGATTCAGGACACCACATGACCGTAGCAATCTAATAAATATTTTTAAATGTACAAATACTGCTGACAACTAATGGACACTTTCTTTTATGGACAATATTAGTTTCCACATTGAAATGAGTCTTCTGTCTATCCCCTGGAGGGACAGGTGCCCTACGAGACTTCTACTTACTCACAAAAAGATTTCTTTGGTAAAGAAAGGGAAAAAATAGGAAGTTAACAGAAGTGGAGTATGGGGACTTATTGCTTCCATAATTTCCCTGTAGCTAAATAAGACAAAGGACAAAGAGAGCTGGGCTAAAGACCAACAGCACAAGTTGGGGAGCAAGTGTGAGGGGTGTGTGGGACTTAGTCCCCACCTGCTCATGGTCTTTATAATGACCCCTTTGGGACTGCAGCTGCCTTGGGGAGGAGCAGAGAGGAACTCCCCACCAGCACGCTGTGCTCTGCACCGGCGGTAGCCCTGGGACTGCTAGGGGAAACACTGCAGCAGCACCCAGGGCAGGATGATTCTTCCCTGTCAAAGTAACATACATACTAATCCATCCAACCTAGACATAAATGTGTGGAGGTGGAAAGCCTTTTGCATGCCACAACTTTCACATTTATAGAGAGTAATGATCAAATTAGCACTGCTGACATATGTCAAGGCATGGGAGCAACTTACATGCAGCAACAAAAACTTTGCATTTTTTATGCAAGCCCAGAACTTTTTGTCACACTCTAAGCAATCAACCATAATAGGTAAAGGTGCTGAGAGGCACATTAATTCTTCTGCTTGGAGGGGAGATTTAAGCCTCAACAGCAACTAACTAGGAGACTCCAAAACAGTTACTCTATGACAGTGCTGCCTGAAAAATAAATTGTCTTTCTTCTTCCATCTAGGTACCCAAGTCTGTGGTATGGATTCAGAAGTTATTAGCTCTGCAAGTCTGCACTGTGCATCAATTCAGGATCCAGAGTCTGGCACCATGAGTACATAAATGCATAGACAAATGATGGCAGTAAAAGAAACTTACTGTTAGTAACCCTGAATATTAGATTCAACACAGATAGAAATCTCTCTATTCCAATTAGACAAAGTCAGAAATTTTATCCTACTGAGACACTAAAACTGGAGACCAGATATAGCATCTATTCTCTAAGCCACATCTTCCCCTGAGTTCGACATCCCTGAGCTTTTTTGTCAGCTGCTTGCAACAGCAACCAGCAAAAAGTTATCATCTGCAATGCAAATGTTGCTATTACAATACCAATCTTGGGTTTTTTTAAAGTACAGAGTGAAATATAGTTCTGTGGCACTCAGCTTAGAAAGGAGGGAGAGTGTAACCCAAGTAAGAGAGCAGATACAAACTTCACCTAACTCCTGGTACTCAATCGTTGTAATCTCAGTGCATAAATCTTCAGTCAGAATGACATTTTTTAATTCTTTCCAATTGAAAACTATGAACAACAATGGTTAAACTGCATTCCTGGGACAGCTGGGACTGCTTGGGAAGTACATTTCCAGAGAAATTAGACTAGCAACATCCAATAACACAGTATAGTCCTGCTAGCCCTCACTTTACTGATCTAAGTGCTCTGCAATATGAAACCCCAGAGAAAAGCTGGCATGCAGTCTGGATCACCTCTTCCCCTCCTCCTCCTCCACCAGCTTTTCCTACATTATTTATTAAAGTTGACTTGCAAAACAAAGAAAAGACAAAAAAAAAAAAAGTTGGAATCATGCTTTTTTTTCCTATTTACGCATTGTTATGGGTAGAAAACATGAAAAATCTACAAGCTTTGAGTTGTCTTGCTTACTTTTTATATTAGAACTATTTTTAATCATAGTCTTTTATATTAAGATTTCAGTTCAGGAATAGCCTCAAATAATGAGAATTTGTTCACACCGACAGGTTGAGCTGGTTAGGACAACTTTCATTTTAAGTCTATGTGGCTAAACATGCCCAAAAGGCTGAGAAAACACTAGTTTAAAATACCGAATCAGACTGCTAAAGGTCAAGATACTGCAGGTTCCCTTTATGGATAAACTGAAGGGAAGACAAGCCTGTTAAGTACACTGTGATTTCATTCAAGGTAAAAGAATGACAGTTACATTGGTTACACAACACCAAACGTGTGTGGGTGGTTGACATGCACTGGTGGTTTACACCAAGCAAAGAACTAATGGAACTCCCAAAACTCTTATTACGGAAATAAAATTCAAATTTCTCATGACTGAAGAACTACTGAAGCTCATATGAGCGATGCTGCACTGTTCAGTGTGGAACTTAGGTAATCACTCACCTTTTTTGTTATAATAAATTTTCCTGTACTAAATAGCCCTCATCGTGTCTTGAGACCAAAGAGGGATGCGTATATATAGGCCACAGCCTACCTCCGCAGAGGACCTCTTTTGTTACTCAAAGCTGCTCATTTATCTAAACAGTACTAAGTAGTGTTACTGTAGCCACCAATGTCTAAGACCATTGGACACATGGAGAAGAATGTGCGCTCAATAGCTGGTTCGCTTTTTCCAGCTGTATCAGTTGGTCACACAAAATACACTGCCCTTCCTCATAAATCTCACCTGTCTTCATCTCAAGAAGAACATGGTGGTTGTCCTTACAGAGAGACTTCATTGAAGAGTTGTTACTCTCAGGTTTCTCCATGTATAACAGATATTTATCATGAAAATGACAGCAAGATGATTAAAACCCCTCCAACATGGCACAAGCATAAGGAAAACTGTAGGTTCACCAGATGCAAACATACACACGCGTTCACAGAACATATAGTTGTAGGTACTTGTTTCATTTTTTTTACGACACACTAATCCGCATATTTTTGTCTTTGCCTGGACACACTCAGCAACAGAAACCCATGAGGCAGCTATGCCAGTTCATCCTTGCACATGTTTTGTCAGCCAAACAGCAAAAGTAAAGATGAGCAATAATCCCTTCTCTTCCTCCTGCCCTCCTCTGAACCAAGACATGATCCTTAAACCCACTCAGGGCAACCTGAAGAGTGACGTTAGAATTTAATTAGTAACCAACATCAAAAGAGAAGAGCTGCAATGCCTCAGATATTGCACAACATCCGTGCCTGGGAGGTGGTGCATGCCAGCTCTCAGTACTCCAGGTACACTCTGGTCTTCCTCGCTTTCCATCCCCAAGAAAACAACAGAAAAAACAATCTGGAAGAAAGTTATGAGAGTCTGTGGCTGTACTGAATTTTACAAGTCTCCTTCTGTGCCGGGAGCCCCCAGGTTTTGCAGGCACGTGCTACCACAGGCACTGCAGCAGATGAAGGGGGAGAGCAGGGGAGTATTCTCCAGCACCTGGGAAAGTACACAAGAAAACTTCCACACTGAGGAACTCACCCTGCCACACACCCGATCAGCAGGTGCCTGAACACCCGCTCACTCAGCAAATTTGATGGTACTCGAAAAAACTAAATTTTACTTCACTTATTTAGAAGATATTTCATGCAAGGAACCATCTAAACTGTCTGTGGCTGTGCGGACATTTTTCTTGGCATTAAAAATGGTCTACAGAGCATCTACCCCCATCTGGCCTCTTGTTCTTACTCCTGTGCCACCACTTTGACTGTGGCAGTGTAACTTTTTTGTGGGGCCATGTGGTGAATCAGATCAGGGAACTGATTCAGATTAAAATCCCAGACGAAGGAAATTAAAGTCCATTAATAAATGCTGTAACTGTAATGTAATGTTACAAGCTCTCAAGTAAAGATTTGGAAAATTTCTGTGCACACTTTTTCTTATTGAATGTGTAGCTTAATATATCACTTTATGTTATTAAACAAAACATGAAACGCAGTATGTTTCCAATCTCTCCTAGGAGGCTGCACGTTTTACATTCTGTCCTGATGATGTCTAGGCATGCACTTCCTAAATGCCTTTTTTCCCCCCCCACTCAAGACAGTTGATTTGTTTTGCATCAATATTTGTATTAAAGCATGTGCCATCACTGAAGAACAGGACAAGGCAATTGCAACACGAGGTGCAGGAAGAAGCAGCCATGGCAGAAGAAGCAAGCTGAAAGACAGGGCGTACAGCAAGCAGCAGAGCAGAAGAGAGGGGCTCATATGTGCTGGGCTGAAGAAAGAGGCAAGCGGCAAGAGGTAAGTGAGTAGATGGACACAG